GCCTAAGCCCATTGGAGTGGTGTTGCTCTTCTACTTCTTTGGTGCTCTTCCTCTCTTGTGGGTTGTTGGAATGAGGGGGGAGAGGTCCTCGTTTTATCGGTGGAGAGGAGGGGGGTCCATGGAAATATGCTTCATCCCCATATGGAAGGAGCAAACCGACCTCAAACCATCATTTAGGTACATTGAACCTAGCAAGCACCTTGACACCGACGTTGGGCAAGGTAGTATGTGTCAAACGACCAAAGCTGAGGCCAAACAGGCTAGGTTGGGGTGTGGTCGCACCCTGGCTGGCACGCCTGGCCACCGCCTTGCTCTGGTGGGTTCGTGGCTGGGCTTGGACCTCTACTACGTCGGTATTCAGCCCAATTTCTTTGGTTGATTAGGCCTTCTCTTGGTTCCTTTGCGCAAGGTCTGCTTTACGCTTCTCTAGATTGCACCTTTTGGTATGTTTTCCTTTGTTTTGCATGGATATGTCCTGAAAATGATCAACTCACCAAAACTCATGGAATATGTTAGTGTAAGACCCTAATTACTAAGTTTGGTGTTTTGTTTGGATGGATTTTATATAATTGTTGGCGGTAAAAATATGAGTTAAGGACCGCCAACACAAACTATTCTCATAATCATGAAAATGATCAATTAAGAACAAACTCATCTTTAGATTTAATTACTGCATTTGAGCTCTAGTCATTGGTCCTTGAATAGTGGATGGAGGAGCGACGGGTGCATGTAAAGAAGTGATGTCCTCATCACCTAGCCCAACAAGCCAACTCACCGTATGGCATGACATAACACGGCTATCTACTTAGGTTGTGCCGTCCAACTAGGCATCTATAGTGATTATCACCAAATGAATAACACATTTTTTCATTAAATTAATCTAGGAAAAAACAAGTACCTATGTTGTGACTAGAACTCAAACCCTAGCAAACATGTCATGCCACAAGAAAGCTATCCATCTAAACCATGTAAAATACTGTATTGCTACTTAGTCTATTATTGGTTTAAATCACCATCAAGATATTTCATTTCAATTTTCCCATTAGATAATATTCTATTCTAGGTGAAAAGTTTGCATTCTAGCATTTTAATAGCATTTTAAAGGTTGACCCATTGAAAGGATCAGCAATGTCTAGAGGGATGGGTTTGAATAAGCTAAACCTAAAAATTTCAAATCCTACAAAGAATTAAATACCAGGTGTCAGAAATTTTGGACTTACCCAGAACCAAGTTTAAATGTCTAAACGTCCGATGGAAAGATCTACTCTATCTACAGATCTAGCCAATGAAACTTAGATGTACATTTACCATACATGTATAGGAGTATGTTGAGCATGTTCTGCAAGATGGATTCATCGTAGAACTTCACAACAAATAGATTGAGTTGAAATAATAAAAGGTAAATGGGACAAGCTCAAGAACACAAGAGCATGAGGAAAAAACTTTATCTTGAGGTTTGTCCACACCACAAATGTGTGTCTACATCCTCTTATTAGACAACAAAATTTCTTGAGTCTCTTTCAACTCTCTCTTTTCATGCGACCACAAAGGTCAACCACGACATTTCCACTAGAATCAATAGGGTGATACAAACCTTCCCAGAGCACATCACACTCGATTGAGTGCTTCAATAGGTGGTGCCTAGCCATCTAAGATCCAAAAAATCCGATAGTAACAAATAAAAAAACAACCAATTGCCGATGCCACAAGTGCTCAAGAATGTAAATTAGCTCTTGGAGACAATCTCTATTCTAACTCAAATCTTGCTCAAAGAAACCTCAAATACAAAGCCAAGGCAAGTAGAGATGTGAAACAAGTGCTGTGTCCTGATGTTGATGAGAGAGAAAATGAGGGGAGAGGGTAAAGGGGTATATATACACAGCTCTCCATAACTAGACGTTGTTCATGTTTTGGATAGACAATTATCGGAAATTCCGGTTCGCATCTGAATTTTTCAAGACACAAGAAGGTAGAACTGAATCTGCATAGTCAACACAGAAACCAACAATAGATATCTAAAATTATGGTCAGGCTAACTGGGAAAATAAATTTCAACTACCTGCTCCACCCCATAAACTTCAAGGCATGGAACTTTCAGCCCCAACCAATATTTCTTACCACTAAATAGTCATTTAGCGCACTAAGGGCTAGGAATTAGGATTTTCCTATGATGTCTATGGTTTTGTTGGACATTTTTAGCACATGGACAAGTGCAAGTTACTTAGTATCGATCCCCTTGATGGTACACCATTTCTATACCAAAAAGAAAACTGAAATGAATATAAAAAGGATCAATCTTCTATCGATGTTGACCAATTGCCGTAGTGTTCATCCTTCGAACAATGGGGAGGCATGGGTCTCTTTTTGTCATTCACCTTTTCATAATGGTTATTCACTTAAATGATTCATAAATCTCATTACTTATTTATTTGCATTGTTATTTGTTAACTAAAACCCATGGTAGGGTTAGGTGCACTTTTACTCCCTTTTGCATGGTCAGTGGCGAAGACACGAGGGGGGGGGGGGCGAAGACACCCCCAACATTTCATGGCCCCCATTAATACACCCCCTTAATTGGCTACTTAATGTTTCAGTTAGCTACTTAATGGTATTATTTGTATTCGAAATTTCTTCTCTAATATCATTATATATAATTAAGATTTGATTTTTTGTTATTTTCTCCATCTCTTTTGTTTCTTTTATTTATTATTTTTTTTAAAAAAATATCTAGTTCATCCTCATAGTTAAATGTAATTAGTGCTTTCTTGTTTGCTCTCCCTCTAAATTGAACTCCAATTGCATTTTTATTATTCAGAATTATTCTTCCTGTTATCTTTCTTATCTTCTTTTGTTCATGTTATTACTGTAATTCTTTTTTTCTAGCCTAAGAATTAGATTGATCGGGTGAAAGTTAAAGATCAAGGGCTAATTATTTGTATTCCTTTCTTCTCTGAAATATGCACTGTTCTTTCCTTTATTTTTTAGATTTCTTTTGTATCGTAACACAACCTTTTATTTGGTTTTTATGTATACTCAGTAGTGGCTAAACCACTGCTTAGCAACCCCGGGCAGCTGTCCGGGCTCATCAGCAAAGTGCAAAAGGGATTTTTATTTGTATAAAAGACAAACACTATAATTTTTAGATAAATATTTCTACATAATAAGAATTGTCTGGACATGTAAAAGTTTTTAGCTCTATTAATGTTTGTACTTTGACCGTGTATGTATCTCCTCACATATGATCGTTGATTGTCGGTTTGAACGGCCCCCTCTATGTTCAAAACCTGGTTCGGCCCTTGTGCATGGTGTCATGGACTCTAGTAGAATAGCACTGAGCCATGACATTGGTATTGTGGTACATACTACATTCTTTCTTTGTCGCAAATATAGGTCCATCAAAGTTTGTTCTTGGCTATAGTTGTAAAAACATTTTTAACTTAAACAAGTAGGGTATACTTTATGAAAACATTTTCATAATGAAATGTGAATGTCAATCTCCTGTTCTCAATCTGAATATAATTTTAGATATTGATGTTTGAAATGAAAACAAAGACTTAGACAAACCTAAATTGACTTATAGTTACCACCATAAGAAGTACTGACCTATCAAGACACATAAAGGAGAACATTTGTCAGATACCAGAACCATAATACTAAACATAATTTAGCCACTCATGTTCCTTGTGATTTTGTTTTTTATGATAGACAACATATCAAGGCGTCGATGATGGCTTCTTTAAGTTGAAGTTTGTTATTTAGTCTCTTGAAGGTACTCTTAGGATAAAAGGTGTTCATGTGTTTACAAGGATAATGAATACATGTGCCTCAGTATCTCAAAAGAATCATATTGGCAGATATCAAAACCATAATACTAAACATAATTTAGCCACTCATGTTCCTTCTGATTTTGTTTTTTATGATAGACAACGTATCAAGATGTCGATGATGGCTTCTTTAATTTAAAATTTGTTATTTAGTCTCTTGAAGGTGCTCTTAGGATAAAAGGTGTTCATGTGTTTATAAGGATAAATGAATACACATGCCTCGGTATCTCAAAAGAATCATATTGGCAGATATCAAAACCATAATACTAAACATAATTTAGCCACTCATGTTCCTTCTGATTTTGTTTTTTATGATAGACAACATATCAAGATGTTGATGATAGCTTCTTTAATTTAAAATTTGTTATTTAGTCTCTTGTAGGTGCTCTTCGGATAAAAGGTGTTCATGTGTTTACAAGAATAAATGAATATACACGTGCCTCAGTATCTCAAAAGAATCATATTGGCTAAACATAATTTAGCCACTCATGTTCCTTGTGATTTTTTTTATGATAGGCAGCATATCAAACGATGATGGCTTCTTTAATTTAGAATTTATTATTTAGTCTCTTGGAGGTGCTCTTAGGATAAAAGATGTTCATGTGTTTACAAAGATATAAATGAATACATGTGCCTCAGTATCTCAAAAAAAAATGCCACAGCCTATTATGAAAGTACAAAAATATTATGTACGCCTATCTGTATGAGGATTATATTTTATAAAAGGATCAAACTGTCAAAAGATGAGCACACATTGCTTGAGCCTTGAGCCTTGCGCCCCTGCCGTAACGTAACCAGGAAACACAGCAATGTCCGGCCCCGCACCGCCGCCCAAGCACACGCTCCGCTCCTACCCCAAAGAGTGCGGGTGTGGTCAGACGCTGACTCGCCGCACGCCACGACAGAGGAAAGAACGCGCCGAGAGAGAGACGAGACGAGACGAGACCTCACCGCACGGGCAGCCACGTCGTGCCTCCGTGCACGCATACGGCATACGACAGCGCCATCCCTCCTTAAAAGGACCCGGGGCAGCGCCACCGCCGGATCCGACGGCCTCCGAGGTGGGGCCGAACCGCCGAAGTAGCCAAGACAACACGAGCAACGAAACGCCATCCCTGCCGGATTAGTGAGTCTGCTCTACTCCCGACTCTGCTCCAGCTCCTGGCCGCCGCCGAGATGGGCGCGGATGGCGGGCTGAACCGGGCGGCGGAGAAGCCCCGGGATGGGGAGGGCGGGGAGGCGAGGGTGTTCCGGTGCACGGACTACTCGCTGCCGCGGACGACGCTGGCGCTGACGCTCTGGCTGGGCGGCATCCACTTCAACGTCCTCGTTCTTGCGTCGCTCTTCCTCCTCTCCCGCCGCGCCGCTGCCATGTCCGTACCTCCCATCCCGTCCATCCACCCCCATCTTTTCCTGTACCTACTCCATGATTCGACCAAACAAAAATAGACTCTTTTATGGTTCATTTATCCATCCTGCTGGTGAGAACGTCTGTTACTAACCCGTTTCTTGATGCAGAGTGGTGGCGTTCCAGCTCTTCTTCATGTTCGCGCCCGTCAACGACAGGGACAAATGGGGCCGGAGCATCGCCAGGTACGCTGTTCTTCCTTCCTTCCTTTCGTTTCGAAATTCTAATAGTTGGGATTCGCTTCCCTCTTCTTCTCGGTTGTTGACTTACGAGCATGCGCAGGTTCATATGCAGACACGCAATGGGCTACTTCCCTATCAGTCTGCATGTGGAGGACTACAAGTCCTTCGATCCCAGCAGGGCTTACGGTGCGTTCCCGAACCTGTTTTTCCATTCATGGATGCTGCCGTCATCATATCCATTATCCAATCCACCACTGCCCACGGGAGTTGAGAAAGTATCAAATTTCGTTGCTGAGGGTAAAGGGAAGGGAATCTTTTATTTGCAGAGTTTGTGGTGATAGTGATGCTAGTGCTCTGCATTTGCAGTGTTTGGTTATGAGCCGCACTCAGTGCTGCCGATAGGTCTGTCAGCTCTTGCTGATCTTGTTGGGTTTATGCCTCTCACTAAGATCAAGATCCTTGCGAGCAGTGCGGTAAGTCAGCTAAATGCCTTGACGCGAAATGTCACAGGATTCAGGGACTCCCCTCATGACTGTTAATTTCGAATTGGGGCTAGGTGTTCTACACCCCGTTCTTGAGACAGATTTGGACATGGCTTGGATTGGTACCTGCGACGAGGAAGAATTTCCACCACTACCTTGGAGCTGGTTATAGTTGTATCGTAGTCCCTGGTGGTGTACGGGAAATTCTTCACATGAACAATGATTCAGAGGTTCGATTTTCGCCCTATTCGCTTGGCTTATAAGCCGTACTTTTTCAGCCAACGAACAATATTTTTTTCTCACAACAAATCAGCCAACGGTACTTTCAGCCATGGTTTATCAGCCAAGCGAACAGGGCATTTGTCATCCATCAGCAACACATTTATTGTATTACTATACATGTTTAATGTTGCATTTTACAATTAAACTTATTGTCTGTTTATTTGCCTACTGTCCTATGCAATCACATCAAATTCGTTTGTTTTGATGGGCTTACATTACAGGTTGCATTTCTTAAATCAAGAAAAGGGTTTGTCAAGATAGCTATGCAGTCTGGATGCCCTTTAGTCCCAGTTTTCTGCTTTGGGCAGGTAACAATCAATCAACCATGCTTTAACAGAGATGTGGCATTGTTAATTCCTTAAATTTAAGTTCCAAAAGAACCAGAAGGACAGATTAACAAATACAATCAAAGTCTATTGGCTCATGTCCACAGATTATATTATTGGTTAACAATGCAGATTTGGTGTCCTTGGGTGTGGGCATCCTTGTTAGCTAAAATATAATGTTGTGATGTTTCAAAAATCATCACAGAGATCATGTATGTAGTACATATAAAGTTAAATATAGTTGCAACAATTCAGTTTGGAATTCATCCTAGATGTCAAAGAAGCAAAATAGACAAGCAGTCAACCTGACACTATTCATCATGTGCTGACAGTGACACTTGTCTTTTGCTTTTTAATCTCAGCATCAAAGGTGAATTGTAAACTGAATTGTTATGGCTACACATAACTTTTCTGATGACTTTTTTAAACATTGTAACATGATATTTTAGCTAAAGAGGACCCTCACACCCCAGGATGCCAAAACATTGGTTTAATGGTAAATATAATTCCGAAAAGATCATATTACTGATTCTCTACTATTATCATTTGGTCAGAGCTATGCATACAAGTGGTGGCGGCCAGGTGGCAAATTGTTTATCAAGATTGCTAGAGCAGTTAAATTTACTCCTATTATCTTCTGGGGTAGATTTGGGTAACTTCATCCCTCTTAGCATTCTGTTCTTTTCCTTCCAGACTTCTGTTCATTACATTTTTTGAAACATTGTTTTCTGGGATTAGAGAATTTTTCATGGTCTACTGGCATTTCACTGCAGCACACCATTCCCCTTCCCAAGACCCATGCATGTGGTCGTGGGTAAACCTATTGAAGTCAATAAGAATCCCCAGCCCACGATTGATGAGGTATTCTGGACTTAATCAAAACCACTTTTTTGAGAGAAACATTTTGTAGGCTCATATTTCTCATGCTGATTCTTGGATTGGGTCCAAAGTCCAAACATAGACAAACCTAATTAAAAGTATATCCATGAATTTGAGGTATTGAAGGAAATAAGACTCTTGTGCTTGCACAAGAATGTCAATATGTTTCCTATCTTATTGTAATGAAAAGCTTGCTTTGATATTATTGACCTGTTCAAGTTTCTGAAAAGGAGCACGAAAAAGGAGTGAACACTCTAATTATACTCGGTGCTTGGGTTATATGGAAACGTAGGAATGTTTGTGTGTTTGAGGGGGCTTCTCCTTCAGTTAACACGATTTTGTGTGAGCTGAAGGACGAGCACAGTCTATGTTGCATGGCCAGTGCGAAGAAACTGCATGGGCTAGGTCTGACGTTTGTAACCTAGGACAGTTGGGCTAGGTCGATTCATGTTTGTTTGCTATGTGTAAGAATATTGAGTCTGCGTAATAGCCTCACTCATATTTGGTCCCGTATGATTGAGGATCCTGTTGGAGACCACCCCATTTCTCTAATACAATGAAATGCAGCTCTCCTGCAGTTTCAAAAAAAAAAAAAAGTTTCTGAACTCTTGTTCCTGGTGCTGACAGATTAATGAAGTGCATGAACAGTTCATCATTGCCCTGTGGGACCTGTTTGAGAAGTATAAGGGGAAAGCTGGATATCCTGGCCTTCATCTAAGAGTCCTATGACATTCCAGCACCAGACTCAGGTAGGATTCAGCAATAACATGGCTCTATTGCTCCTCCCTCAACTGAAGTGTCAAACTGCACTTCGCAGGCACTCAGGCGGTAGTTGCGACATTGTGGTGATGATAATAAGGCTCCAGCTCCGATGCCAAAACATGCACGAGTTGCTCACGAGTCACAGAGCCTTAAGTTGCTTGCTTAATTTTTTTTTACTGTTGCTTGCTTAACTTTGGTGGCTGAAATGGATATGCAAAGATAGGTAATGTAAATACTGGTTATGCGATGTTGCATATGAGAATATGAACATTGGTGAGATATAAGCTCCTGTACTTGCAGCTGCGTCATCAGTGTCTGAATCACTAGGAAGTTGCTTATGCCGATACTTATGTTGATTTGTTGTGAGAAAAAAACACTATTCGTTGGCTGAAAAATACTGCTGAAGTAGTAAGCGAACAGGGCCATTGGGCTGCTGCCTGTGTACCTGCAGCTGTGTCATTGTTTGAAGAACTTTCAGATGTATTAGAACCCCTACAAGCCCATTTGGTTTATTATATTTTTATCCATTTTTCTGGGCTTATTGTCACCTGGGCATATATTTGACAGTTGAAAGTGTCCTATTCCGTCTTGTGATGGCCCTTTCCAACAATTTAACTGTGCTCCCCGTAAGGATGAAAAATAAAAAAGGATATCTAAATTATCCAACATTCGTATCCACTAAAACTTGTAATATGGATATTTGGATTCGTATCCGTTTCTAACGTGGATACTAAATGGATTTATCTGAATTTGTTTTTAAGTATTTTTCTCTATCCGATCTCAAGTTTGTATTCAACAAAAACGAATATTCGACATTTATCTGTATCCACGAAGAACAAGATACAATGAATTTATTTAAAAGTTTTCTCCCCATAACTAGCGATTAATTATTTAATTTTTGTATTATTAATGATGTATTGAAACTATTTAACAGTATATCTATAAATAACTTTTAATATTAATTTAATATTATCAATGATACATGCAGATTAAATTAATTTAAGATAATTTCTAATTTAGTCTAAACTTAATATATGTTGTTGTAAAATATTTATACTTTAATTTATTTATTTACTGAAGTAAATTGTTTTATATAATTCATAATTCCGTGATAATATTATATAAATAATAATTGATTAATTGATATATTTAATTATGAGGTATTTATTGATAACTATTATTTTTATGAGATATCCTTGTCTATGTGATATACCCATATACTTTTATCTCTACTTGTGTAATATTTTATAATTTCTTTCACGAACGCACAAATTTGCCCTTATTTTTCATTAATTGCCCGTTTGGACGTAAATATTCAGGCCCAGACTTTGGCATTGGTATTGGATACCCCAATTCCGTTGTTTGGATGGTCTTGGTACTGGGAGGTGGAAACGGGCTCGAATACCACATAGCATTCGCCCTGCCTGCTCAGCTCCGCCCACAATACGAGCGCTCCCCCTCTGTATTCGCGAGAATCTTTCCCACGCGTAATGCTTCATCTGTGCTCGCCAATCTCGCGGCCACCGCTCCCTCCACTCGCTTGCACAGCCGCCGCTCTACATGCCGGTGCTGCTGCCTCCACCCCCTCGCATGGTCGCCACTGCTCCCTCTACCCGCTCGTCGGGCCTCCTGAAAAATAGAATAGAGGGGCTTTCGAATCCAATCAAAAAACCTATTTTGGTCTTTAGAACCCAGTTCATTACTCTTGATGGAGAGGGAGGATTATGATAGGGAAGGTGGTGTGTGCGACCCATATATGGATTCTTCTGAAAAAATAGATCGTCTCTGGACTGTACTCTTTCAGATTTGGCAATCTCTAGTCAATATAGGGAAAAGAGTAGAGAGTGCCGACCATGGCGGATCCTCAAAGACAAATGATTGATTTACTTATTCAAAGCAATTTACGTCTCAGCTCCGCCAACTCTGGACGACAGGTTAGTCACAGCAGCCCCAGCTAGCTAACTGGTGAACTTGCTGAACATGCTCAAACTGATCATCATCAAGTTGAACGAGCGGAGCTACACCTAACATGTGAAATGGATGCATAAGGATGTTGTGCTCTGCCTGGAATACAATCATAAAATTGAAAGTCTCTCTCCTAAGGGATCCAATCAGAAGGAATTCTCTCACTTCGCTCATGCATCAAGGTTTGATCCAAATTGAGCGAAGGCGGCCCTTCAGAAAGAAAAGATATGAGAGTTGATTATCAAATAGTACGGTTGGTATAAATTAATGCACACAGAATAATCCACAAGCGCACGGATATTATACAGATGTAGCACTTCACCGGGAGTATCCCAGTTTTATATCGATCTCAAGAAAACGTGTGTGAGAATAACTAAATCTAACTTAACCCAACTTCGCAACAAGGCTTAGATAATTGGAGTATAAAGGAGATCACAAAGGTCTTTTAGTTCTAACTTCGGTAAGCTGTCTTCTATTATTCAATTCTGGGGTTATTACTAAAGAAAACACAGGCAGAGTATGTTTTCTATAACAACAAAGTTTTGCTAGGCCTACCAACGGGAGGTGGACTACAAAGGATTCAACGAGGCTATAAGAGTCACCCTCGCGAGCTATCACCGATCCGAAAAGTAGGGTATATCCATGAGTAACCGAGTCTAAGCACCACGCTTACACTATGGATACTACTTTAACCCAAGAGCTACAAGGATTGAAATACTCAAAAGAGAGTCGCAAACCTAAAGAACAATATGAACACGATGCTTACTTGAATTAGAACTCGATTACTAGAGAATCTCAAAAGCAAGCTCAAGAAGAAATTGATTCCACAAGGGTACAAGCCGTAGAGAGAGCATCGACAGGCCGTCACTTCCTCCAAACTCATTCCTCTTACTCTTGTCTTTCTATCTCTAATACAAAACTAGATCCTATTGAGGACTAATCTTCTCTTGATTGCTAGCTCCGATCCTGGTGGAAATATAAATTAGGGTTTCTGGCCCTTAGGCTCTCAGGATCATTGCCTTCTCAATATCTCTTCTGGAGGAGGGTGGTACAGGCAGGTATATATAGGGCCCTTCAAGCATCCTAGACCCTCGGATCAAACCGACTTAAAAGAACGGCGTAGATGTGATCCTAGAGGCAGTGGAGAACTGACGTATCGAGGAGAGGCCAATAGGTGGGACCCACAGGCCACCCGCCCTGCAGGTGGGGCCGGCCGGCCCCACATGGCAGTGGCATGAGCCCTACTTCAGTGGAGAGCCTCCTAGAGTCTTCTAGAGTCTTCCTTCGTAGGTCCCGCTGTGGAATTCCATGATTTCTTTTGACGAATAGGTCCTCCTTGGCGGTTTTCTGATTAAATCCTGCTGCAAACACTGATTCACCAAAACTCATGGAATTTATCAGTTAAAACCCCTAAGTTTATGTTGGTGATCCATTTTAGTCATTTATACAAAGTATATTGATGGTTTGTGATGAAGGTTAACTACCGTCAACAAACTCCCCCACACTTAGGCTTTTACTCGTCCTCGATAAAATGATGGATTACTTAAGACATAACCTTAGGACAAGACATCAACATAAAAACTATTCCTAGTTATACATGCACTGCATGATTCAAAGTGTCTACCATGAAACTTTGGACGGTTGAAGAATGGAACGGCTTGAAATAGATCACCATCTTCCTTTGGTCAAGTCAATTGGAGAAACATTTTAAGATTTTGAAAACAAAACATAGCTTACCTTCTCCTTTTGTGGTACTCTCAAATCACTCAATATATATGTGGTATTTTTGGATCCTCACTAAGGCAATGATGACTTTGCCTTCTTTGTACCTACTTTTAAAGGCTTATGTGGAGCTCAGGTAGGGATAAATATGAAAACATACTTGCATTACATATATTGTAAAGTCAAAACAATGATCCAAGGAAAAAAATGCCATACTCTTAGATCAAGATGTGCATGTGCGCGGATGTATATGGTGGCTAACCTAATTCTACTATGCTCCTTGAAACATATATGTCGATGAAATATGTCCGACAGTCTATCGAGGGGTACGCCCATGGTAGCAGATTGCGAAGATATCTTGTGGTGGGGTCGGAGAAGTAAAATATCTTGTCGTAAATATATAAAAACTCCATCGAAGCAACGCATAACATTGAATTCTGTTTCGTCGGTCCACGTTTGATGTGGTGGCCCACCAGGCCCATTTCGCAACCCAGCGGGGCACACTGAGATTTCAGGAGAGAACACGGTAGGGCTGGCGTGGTTTCCCAAAAACCCTGGGAGGCAGAAGGTCAGGGGTCGAACCGTTATAAGAGCGCTGCGGCCCCGGCGCACATTCCCCACTACCTTCGTCGCTTCATCGTCCTTCTCGTGCCTATGCCGCTACGCCTGGTAACTGCTCCACCATTAGAGCAACCGCAAGCACGTAGTCTCCTCTAGGACATAGATCTTTGAGATGGCACTGAAAAGAAACCATGTCGGCTTGAGTAAGGGATCGCGCGAGCTCAATTGCGCCAAAGAGTGGATGGAGTCCATTAGCAATGAGGCAGTGCTCAATCCATTGGTGGTGCATGGCGTGTTGCCCGATAGGGTGACGACGGGATGGCATCCGACTCGCGGTGAGAGCTTTCCTACTCCTTATGGTGATGAATGAGTAGTTTTTGAAGATTACTTCTACCGTAGATTTGGTGTTCCATTCCATCCATTTCTCCACGGGTTGATTGATTATTACAGGATCAGTCTTTGCAATCTCAGCCCAAACTCCATCCTTCATATCTCCGTCTTCATTCATTTCTACAAGGCCTATCTTGGCGTTCTTCCCCATTTTGATCTCTTTGGAGACTTCTTCTGCTTGAAAGCCCGGGGGGGATCTGGATCTAGGATCATAGGCGGCATGTACTTGCAACTTCAGGATGGGATGGTGGGTCAATACATCGCCACCCCTTTGAACACAAATGTGAAGTATTGGGCGCAACAATGGTTCTACATGCCACAGGTGGAGC